TGTTACAATGTTTTTCATTTCTTATTTAAATCTAGTGTGGTGTGCCTTTTTTGAACGGCTTTCATGAGAACCCTCCATACTCCACGCTATCGTTCTCACCCTCTTTACCCTTGTGCTGGGAGTGTTGATCAGAGTCTGTCATATTTTGACACCGTCCTCCTTCCCTAGGTCTTATCACAGTGTCCCTCTTTTGCTGTAGGATCCGTCTCCTATCTCCCTAGTTCAAGTATTTCACTCGATCCCTGCCCCCCAATCTGTGCTGCTCGATACGTTGAACCTAATCAAAGCAAACAGTACCACAACAATTGTGGGTTGACACACAAGAGACTAGGGCACAGGGAGTCATAAGCTTGGTATATGGGATAGAAACAGGATAGACGCGATGGCGACTAGAGCTCGTTGGCTGACCGTAGAACTGTTTCCTCATAGACGTGATCAATGTAGCAAAGGCTTGACCATAAGACTTACTCGGAGGCTTTAGCCTCGAACTAGTCAGCCAGACGCAGGGGAGGGCAAATAACGCCTCGAGTAGCACAGATGGGGTGGCAGGGGTCGAGTGAAATACTTGAACCTGGTAGATAGCAGACGGATCCTACGGGGCAAGAGGGAGACTCTGATAAAACCTAAGGAAGGAGGACGGCGTATCAATATGGCAGACTCTGATCAACATTCCCAGCACAAGGGTGACGGGGGTGAGAAGGACAACGTGGAGTGTGGAGGGTTTTCAAGAAAGCCGTTTAAAAAAGGCACACCACACTAGATTGAAATAAAAAATGAAAAATAATGTAACAGTGAAGGCGTGATACGAGGATATAGGAAATGTGAATAGTCCAGGGCAGAAGGGGAGGTACCGCAACTGTTTAGCACACATTTGGTCAAAGTATGGCTTTATTTGTCTCTTTGACGAGTTGTAGTGTGGTGCTAAGAATGACAAGACTCAAAGACGATGCCGGCGAAACGTCTGAGAATGTACCATGTCCACGGTCCGACTTTGCAAATGATCATGCATACAATGTACTCCGAACTAGGTGCGTTCCTCTAAGTCTTCCTACCAATATGACCACGTTGCGAAAACAAGGTCCAACAACGTCTAAGATATTTTTAGGTTTATGTCACCAGAAGACGACGGCTGATTCCGGTTATACTGCAGCCGCTTGGCTTTTATACGACATTCATGTTAACGCAGTCCACGAGACATCCTCCTTCGTTTCGGGTGAAAACGGAGTGACCTTTCGTCCATCATATGATGGACAACATCAGAGCTAAAACTAATTCTTGCAAGTCTCAACTTAACACTAGGTTAATAAAACTGTCCGGACCTATCTTACCTCCTATATATATGTTTGACAAAAAAGCTAAAATGTATAGGCATATATATATATATATATGTAGAATGGTTTGGATAATTTTTTTTCATATTGGTCCTGCTACTTTTGCTCGTGCGTTGTGTGTGTATTAACATTAATACTGGTCCTAACTCAGAGTGATCAAAAAAGGCTAATGTCAGGCTCTAGTCATCTATGCTTAATAAACAAAGAAAAGCCCGCACCGAGACTGAGTAAGTCCCTAAGCAAGTATGGTTGCGGTAGTAAGATGTAAACTTTTAAGTGTATAAGTCAGGTTACGAAACCACCTGCCCTAACCTCTCAGTCTAGGGTCATTAAGTTTTAATGACCCAAGGAAAGGCATGACTAGGTTTGCACGATCTCGTACGTCTGGTTTGGTTGATGAGTTTAATCTAACATGTTGGACGAGTGTGGGTGATAGTAGAACTATCACTGAGCGGACAAGTTGAGTCGCCTTCTTCTGGATGGCGACTCAGCAACCTCTATCTTATTAAATCTATCAAGCAAACATAAGTAGTTCTTACTCAACTTTATACCACCGTCCTTCACATTCAGCATATTCCTTTATCTATTAATTTGAGTAACCTCCCTTAATTTCATTTCAAAAGACGACGTACCATAATAAGCAAATATACTTGCTTGAGACCATTCTATCTCCTGTCCAGTCTTTGCCATGTATTGGGATAATTCTGATCTTTGGAACCAGATGTCTTTACGATGATTTTTATGTTTCCTTATTTTCTGTTGAATCGGCTGTCATATCTCACCAACACAAGGTCGGACAAAAAAAGATAAATGGCCAAACCATTCTCTATCTATCTATGTCTGTTCATTTTCGTTTTTAAGTTATGAGTATATATAAAATTACGATAGAGCAGAATAGTCTTCTTGACTTTACAGGAATGAGTTACAGGGCCCACTATGTCCAACATATGATGGACGAAATCTCCTCCTGGTTTCACCCGAAGCGAGAGAGGGTGTCTCGTGGAATGTGTCAACCTGAACGTCGTATTAAAGTCAAACGGCTGCATAAAAACGGGAATCAGCCACCATCTTCTGGTGAGATCGACCTATGAATCTCTCCTTCATGCATTTTGAAATGAAATAAAAGTTTTCCCAATAAAAATATAGTGGGTTAAGTTAAAAAAATTCTCTCAAAACAGGAAAAAATATATATATAAAAAAACCCATGCATTTCATTCAAAATGGCATTAAATCTTGGGATAAAGGGTGCAATATAATCCTAAATACGTCTACACATATTTAAACATAAAGAAATGTGTGTAAACGAACCTTTTATCTTGTTGTTCTTCCTTGTTATTATGCCCTGTAGCTTCCAGCTCAATCATCGTTTCCTCAACCTTGTGTTGTGTTTTCAGCAATTGATCCATCTGTTGAGACCGCCCTTCTCGATCGTTTTCCGTCAAAACTATCTCCGGCTCTACATCGGTTTCCACTTCAACTTCCCTGCTGTTACTGCAACCCAATTTCCTTTCTTCTCCCATCGTTCCGATTGCTGTATCGGAGCCCATGGAGTTAAGAGGCCATTGAAAATTCGTATCAAATGTTTTTGGACTGGGATGAGGTCCTAAAATAGAGCTTTCACAACCGAAGGATGAACTAGCACATCCGCCTACAGCAGGAAATTGAGAATTGGGCCCAGAAGATGATGGCCACTTGTCTGAAGACCTCTCGAAGGTCCTAATAATAGGAGAGGAAGACTGTTTACGGGGGGAGGCACTGCCAGGCCGAAGTGCAGAGACAGAAGGCAGAGGCCTCAAGGAATCGAGCTATAACGAATTAGATAAGGAAATTTATGGAGGAGAAAGTGATAATATATGAATTCCTAAAATATCAAGTATGCTAATGAAGACCTAATAAGGTATTTCGAACTATGAAAGATTGTGATGCAGAAAAGAGAGGTGGGAATAGGACAAAAGTAGCTATTTAATTGCAGTGCAAAAGGTAGCTTTTAAGGGTTTCAAGAATGCATTAGTTAAGCCGAATGTACGTCGAATGACAATAAATAAGAATAACCAGTGGGAAAGTAGATTAATTAGAAAAAGTAGAATAAGTATTCTATTTATAATTGTGGAAACACTAGGGAAATAATTGTACAAAACAGATGACAAGCGTCTATTTGGAAGAAAGGGATATCAAACAATCGAAGTGTCCGTAGACCGATAATCTCCAGTATATGAGAAGCGGATTGAATTCGTTTACACAACTTAGTTATGTTATTGGAGAGGCTTCGATAAAGCCCCTTGTCAGAAATCCTTAGCAATAGCATTCATGAAAATTTTCAACGTTGGACCGTAGACTTAATACATTCTTAAACATTTTGTCTAAATCATGGTTAGCACCTTCTGTGAGCTCTTCCGGTCTTGATACCAATAATCCATTTCCTAGGCTCATCGACGATTCCGGCGAAACATATAGGGATGTACCAAATCCCCGGTCCGAAGCTGAATATATTATGACTACCATTGTAGGGGACTTCAGACAAAAAGCATTCATTGTGGTTTCCTAAATAACACGACCAAGTTGAGAAAACGAGACCATAATATTTCTATACAACGAAGGAAGACTTCGACCAGGATATAGACCATACTATCTTATGCGAAGAAAAGTTGGGTTCAAAAGAATCTCTTGTTTCATAATTGTTGAGGCTACTTCCATTTCGAGTGAAAGTGTTGGGTGAAGGGATTCAAAGGTCGGTTCCACCAGAAGACGACGACAGATTCCTCTTGACCAACTGTCGATTGGCTTTACTGGAAGATTTATGCTTGCGTTGTTTCCGAGGTAATCTCCTTGGATTCCGGTGAAAAGCTGCTAAGCTTTTGTCCGTCATATGACGGACATCAATAGAGCAAGGTATCATCGTCACAACAAAATTTAAGCTAACGAGTCATAAAAACTCAGCGCAAATCCGTAAAAAGTAGTATATATACTCTACATCTGGCCTCGTTGATCAAGTATAAAGTGATTTGGTTAGTTAAGGTCATGTCAACTTCCATGCCTGTGAGGGTGTCTATCTATGTATGTGTATGTGCCTGTTTGTGTTCGCTTATGCATGAAACCTGCAGTGATGGCTCAAAGTAATTAGGACGGCAAAAAGGAACGTTTGTTTTTGGCCATCAAGGTTTGATGACCCCTATCTTCTCCTTTCTACATACATGTTATGTCCATTCCGAATGCGCAATGACGGACACTCGTCTGGTTTTGTTGATGAGCCTTTTTTGTTTTGGTCTCAATGCGAGAGAGAAAGAGTGAGCTAAAAGTACAGAGAAGTGACTATGATTAGAACCAAGACAAGAAAAGACTAATTGAGTAGGGTTTCAAAAGTTTAAAGTTGAAGTTACCCAAAGTTCTATGAATGGATCTCATGATTATGTTTTAGTTTGTGTTCGCTTATGCATGAAACCTGCAGTGATGGCTCAAAGTAATTAGGACGGCAAAAAGGAACGTTTGTTTTTGGCCATCAAGGTTTGATGACCCCTATCTTCTCCTTTCTACATACATGTTATGTCCATTCCGAATGCGCAATGACGGACACTCGTCTGGTTTTGTTGATGAGCCTTTTTTGTTTTGGTCTCAATGCGAGAGAGAAAGAGTGAGCTAAAAGTACAGAGAAGTGACTATGATTAGA